GCCTGTAGTCCCAGCTACTTGGGAGGCTGAGGCAAGAGAATCACTTGAGCCCAAGAGTTTGAGGTTGCTGAGATCTATGATGCAACGGTACTCTACTAAGGGTGACAAAGTGAGACTCTGTCTCAGAAAAAAAAAAGAAAAAAGACCCCCATCTCTACTAAAAAGAAATATATATATGTGTGTGTGTGTGTGTGTATAATTGGAAACACAAAGAAAAGAAAATCAACACTTTCAGCTTTTGAAAGATCAGCGCTAGAGGTTTAATCAATGTCCCTTTGAATGACTGCATGTAAATTAACACTTTAATCCTGACTATTCCACTAGGTAATTACCAACTAAGAAATTTTAAAAATAGGATAAAATCTTTGTTATAGATCTTTAACTAATCTGTGTTAACTTTGTAATTTAGAATAGAATCAAAAACAAATAAAGTAGAAAAAAAGTAGCAAGAAACAACTGCTCACATTCTCTTCTGGGTTTGAAGGTGAGAAGTCAGTGGAATTGGCCTTTAGGACTCTCCCATTTTGGGTCCCTACCCCTAACACTCCCAAGGGTCCAGTCCTGAGCATGGCGCCAGCAAGCCAACCTATCCCATTGTGGCCTAGGAACCCATCTTTCCCTATTCCTTACTTCAAAACTTATTCTCTAAAGAGCACACTTTCTTTCAAGTGTCAATTGTGGTCAACTGTTAAAGTGTGATGTCAGTGCATCCAAAATAATTATTACTTTATCTAATTGAGTTATGCATAAGATCATTAAGTGAATCACACTCTGGAAATTTCAGGCACTTTAGTAGAAGAAATAGTTTTGCTCCAATAAGAATTTCTATCACAACTTAAAACATTCACCAATTCCATCTACACTTAAAGCAACGCTTTCTTTTCCTTGTAGATCCCTTCCATTGAAACAAAAGTCAGAACTTTAGCTCTGTTCCTTTTAAGTTCTGGCCCTGACATGTACCAGTTCATGTTTTCTACCTGTTCACATAGACTTCAGACAACTGAATGCATTCACTGTGCTACAGACCTCTGCAATGCTCCAGAGTTAAGAGGAGGGAAGGGACCATCTGAAAAAATAAACTAAAAATTAAGAAAACCAGAGCAAGTTAGAATGATATACTTACAATAGGGTCACATCTAATTCACAGTCCCAAAAGGGGGTCATAAAGTCATCCTCAGGATATAGGGACAAAATAAAACTAGCTATAAGATTTGAACGGAATATAAAAATATTAAAATAAATGTGTTGGAATTATGAGATTATTGAGCATTCATTTTTTTCCACATTGTCCTTAATATTGTTACATTGTCTTCACAATTAAGATGATTCCCTCACCCCAAAATAGGAGAGGGTAATAAAAAAAAAATAGAACCCAGGGCCAAGGATGATTCAGAATTGCGGGAGGATTTGGAGATGAGAGCAGCAGCCACAGAAAAGCAGCCACAGAAAAGCAGCCTCAGCCTTAGCTGCGAAAGTTCTGCAGATGTGATTCAAAATTAGATGCTAACCAAAGTCCTATTCCTGGGACTCACTGTATTAAGCTCTGATTAGAGAGAAAATTTGCTAGGCAACTGTTAATCACATTTTGAACCCCTCGTACAAAAGCATTCACATTGTTAAGCGCACAACCTGGATTTGCAAGACAGACCTGATTTCAGAGATTCTGTCCTGTTGTTGTCATGAGAACACACTTATTCTGTCAGATCATATGTCCTGATTTTCGGCTCAGAAAAATGTGGTTGCCATAGATACCTTTTTTTAAAATGGGATGGGAGTTGAGTAAATAGAGAAATCCCATGGATGCTACACCAGCAAATCAATAATAAAGAGAAGAAGAAGGTGGTTATAAAACAACTCATTTCATAGATCTTTCTGTTCCACCTCCGCCGGCCCTTAAAGGTTGGGAAGTATGGTGGCAGGTTAGGTCAGGCTCAAGAGGAAAGCACAAAGAGAAAAGGAGAGTCTGATCGGTGCTGCAGGCTTTAGCCCCCCAGACAACAGTTCTTCTAGTGAGTCTTAAGTTCAGCAGCTCTTTCCTCTGTCTTGACTCCCTCTGACTGAAATTATCCCCTCTCTTTTTCCTTTCTCAATCCAAAGTGAGAATTGCCTGAGTGCCTTTCTCGAGCTCAGATCAGATTTTCTGTTTAAGTAATTCATATTTACTCAAGAGGAACTAGGGCTTAATATCCCCTCCCTTCCTCCTCTCCTGCCCTCTCTCCACCAAGTTCTGAATTATAAAAAGAAAGCTTTACATCAGATGACTCTCTCATTGGTGGAATCTGTAGAAAGCTGAAGAGAAAGAGGATTTCCTTCTATCTTTCTCTCCTTCGAGGCCACTATTCCTCCCTGTTCCCCCACCTCCCCTCCAGGAGGACAAGACCTAGCAATGTCAGCTCATCCCTTAAAGAGAGAGGTTGGCACAATACACTGCTGGAACAGGTCCCCAAGTCCAGGAATGCAGAAGCCTTCCTTTATTTGGAAAACTGCCTCATGGTGTCTATTCAGACTTTCAAATAGCTTACCTAACTAGCGTAAGAGGTCTTTAGTCATCTGACAAGTAGCTGTATAATTCTAGGGTAACAAGTAACTTCAGGAAGAGCATTAGTTAATTTTTTTAAGTGTTGAATTTTAAAATGTTGGCTGTATAAGTTTTTTATACTTAAACTTGACCAATATTTGCCCTTGAACTTTAGAATAGTATAATTTTGCAACCTATCTTCTTAGGTACCTAATATCTGATCTCTTTTAAGGTGAATGATAGAAATTAGACATGGAGATTGGGAAGGAGGTAAAGAAAATTCAAGAATAAAAAGCAAAATATAAAATCCTTATTTGATGATTCCCTATAGAACCTAACCAAATGCCAAATGCAGACATAAAGTCACTGGCTTAACTCTCCTCCATAGGTTCACATTCTCTGAACAATCTCACAATATTTCAATCATATTTCACATAAGATGAGATTATGCAGAAATGTATAGTAACATTTTGCATTGCTGTGTCCTTTTCCCATCTCTATAGCATCCTCAGAAGCCAAGTGACTGCTATTTGTAAAAAAAAAAAAAAAAAAAAAAAAAAGATCAAATCAACCCTTATAATTTACGTGCCTGTGAACAGCCAGGGTTAATTGTTGTGAGAAGTTTTTGTTATGCTGAAAAACACTTGGCTTTTCCCTCCACATCTATATTTCAAGAAAAAACAGGAAAAAACCTAAATAAGTCCAAGTTTGTGATAATTCCAACAATTCTGTCACAGACTGGATGTTATCTGCGTTTAACAAATCATGTCTAATGTTGAAAGCACATGAATTGCAAAACATGATTAGAAAACAGAAAATCTTAAATAATTAAAGAGAACAGGCTCAGTGCCTGTGGCTCAAGTGGCTAAGGTACCAGCCACATACACCCAAAGTGGCGGGTTCAAATCCAGCCCAGCTGCCAAACAACAATGACGGCTGCAACCAAAAAAAAAAAGCCGGCGTTGTGGCAGGCACCTGTGGTCCCAGCTACTTGGGAGGCAGAGGCAGGAGACTCGCTTGAGCCCAGGAGTTGGAGGTGCCACAGCACTCTACCCAGGGGGACAGCTTGAGGCTCTGTCTCAAAAAATAATAATAATAATAATTAAGAGAACAGACACACAAGGGAGTCTAATACCAGTCTCAGTGAGTCATGAGAACTTGAAGGCAGGTAAAAATCTGTATTGAAATTGAATGAATTTTATTTACAGTTATTTGTTTAATGTAATGGAAAGCAAGATATGGTTATAAAATGATAATCTTGAAAAAAAATCCTACATGTAAGTATATACATTTTTCAGATGGTCTGAATCAGGAAGATGTCACCTCACCCCTTTTAACAATGAAAATACACTGCGGCATTAGGAAGGCTGAGAACCACGGCGAGTTTAGATCATTTTTCCAAATGAGGAAACCGAGGCACAAAGAGGTTTAGTGACAAGCCCAAGGTGTCAAGCCCAACCCCCAGACCGAAGACAGTGACCGTATCTATTTCGCTTTCATATCCCAAGGGCCGGGTCCCCAGCAGGTCCCCAGTGGTACTGGCGAGGGAGGAGGCAGAGGGTTCCGCCCTTTGGTGACCTGTGGCCTCGCCCCTTCCAGGTTTCATGACCTACATCGTGGAGCCGCTCTTCCGGGAATGGGCCCGCTTCACCGGGAACAGCCCGCTGTCGGAGAACATGCTGAGCCACCTGGCGCACAACAAGGCGCAGTGGAAGAGCCTGTCGCCCCGGCAGCACAGGAGCAGGGGCGGCAGCGGCAGCGGCAGCGACCACGCAGGCCCCGGGACTGAGGACCAGGCGCAGACTGGGGGGGAGGGCGACTCCCCGTAGCCGGCCTGGCCCAGCCGCCTTGAGGAAGGACTCTCTGGGTTGTGGCCTGGGGCTCTTGGAACACCACCCTCCTCCTAGTCACCTGCCTCGCCTCCTTCTTGCAAGTGTACAGAAGCCCTGAGTCACCTGGGCGCCGGATAGCAGTAGCTCCGTCAGTGACGTGGGGGCTGATTCCATGGGCAGGCTCGGCCTCCAGCAGAACACTGGGAGTGAGAAGGAGGTGATCTGCCACGTCCCCCGGCCCTGGGTCACCCTAGGACAGGCAGCAGTCCCCAAGTCTCCAGCACTTTCAGTTTGCATCTGACTGCTGATCTGCATGACAAAAACACCAGCACATCTGGAACTCGGAGGATATTGGTCTTTATTGCGAAAGCACCTATGAGAGCATGGGAGAAAGTACCTTCTATTTTAATAATAATTATTATAAAAATAATAATGAGTCTTTTTAACTTTTGTATTTCATGCGTAGACAATGGATCTAAAACTTTGGACTAAGATTACTCAATGTACCCAAACTTGGACAAGGGGTTCATTGTTTTGTTATTGACTTTATGCCACTTGGGGCAGATATTTGGCATCTTCTCAATTTCAGAAACCACGTTTGCTACCCGACCCGAGGGGAAGGTGCTGTACAGTTCATTCCTTTGCACCGTTAGCCAATCTGTCTTTTATGGATTCAGTGACATGTTTATATTCTCACATGTACATGTTCTGTAAATACCAACGCTACTGATTCCCATGCCAAAATACATGAGTATTATGGGATTGCTACCTGTATAAACAATGGCACTGTGAACAGAATACTGTTAGTTTTAATACAAGAGAATGCATTTGTAAATATGGTATAGAGTTTATTAATATACTGTCGTTTGCAGATAAAGGCCTTAACTTACACATCTTTCCTCTTCTGAAAGCTGCCCAATTTAAATCCTCACAGATGTCTTTCCGAACTTCCATCCCATGTCCATCTTTGTGTTTTCCAGCTAAGGTCACAAACTGAAACCCAAGAAAGTCGGGGAGACATGTTGGAAACTTCACAGGCGTTCCGCTTGAGACCATAGTGTTTAAACTATGGCACCAAGCATGGTTTCCTTGGCTTAACAAGATCCTTCAGCAAGTCTGAATCAGTCACTTTACAACGGAGCAGTGGTATTTTAACAAGCCAGCTGATAAGCTTGTGTTTATGTGACTCTTTGTTATGGAACATGGTGGTGTGTCAGCCTCACAGGAGACATAGCCTGTCTCAAAAACCTTCTATGACCCTGTCATCTGTCCATCAGGGAATTCCCCGCTCCCAGACCCCGCATTTGTCCGTTCTGGCTACAGTACCAAAGTACCTTTGGTTTATGGTTGGTGTGCATTTCTTTGGTATTAACAGTAACTGGATTTGTTTCTTTTTCCTTAACTTCCTATGAACAACTCCCCAACTGTTTAGCTGAAGTTAATATTATTTAAGTCAAGAAAATATTTCAGTTTTATAGCAGACCTTCCCCTCCTGGCAGGTCATTGTGGTTAATTATGGCTCTCGCTAGCTAGGTCACCTTGGAATTTTGTTGCCATTTTTTCTGCAAACACTTGGCAATAAAATTGGTTCATTACAGCATTCTTGTCTAGGCTGCTACACGTTGTGCATCAAACCTTTCCTTTAGAAGTTTTAACGTAATTAATGTTCGATAAAAATTGTTGATCCCCTTTTTTTTTACCTTCCACAGTGTGGTAGTGGGAGAACGATTGTTTCTGCCACGATCAAGCTGTTTCTCAAACTGGTAGAATGACAGCTTGCTCTTGTTTCCTAAGAGCCACTGGTTGGGGTTTTTTTTTCTCCTAACACACAAACGAAATGTTAGAAACTTGACTGGTCCTTCATAAGTTCCTATAGAGAGACTGAGGCTTACAGAGTTAAGGTTTAGGGGACATTTTGGAAAGTTGATCATATTTTCATTCAGGTAGGAGATTGTCAGATGGTGCTAAAGAAAGTGTGAAGTTCTTATGAAATGGGGGAATGACAAGTTGAAATTTTTGATATGGATAAGAAAGGAGGTTACGGAAACTGAACACTAAATCTGGTTGGGTTTTTTTTTTTCTTGTAATAACCATGACCTGACAAATGTTTCTGTATCACTTTACTATTTTGATGCTCTCAGCTTGGCCCCAAAGAGAATACCTTGGATGTATTCCTTTTCCGAACCTCTCTTACTTTGGGTTTGATGACGCAGAGAGGGGCTGTGAGTAGTTTATTTTTGTCTATGGATCAAATGAAGGAAAGCCATTGCTGGAGACCAGAAAGTAGAGATAGGAAAGAAGACGCTATGTTAGCTAATGAGGCCTCTCCCTTAAGTCTAGGAAATGGGCATTGTTTAAATTGCAATTATATTATAATTTAAATAAATAAGATTGGACATGTTCTTTAGCGCTTCCACGTTTATAGGGCAAAAGTGCTTATGTTCTAATTAGGTCCTGAAGAAGAGCCCACAGAGAAAATGACCCAAGAGCCAATGGTTAAGCCTAATAAGTAGCCACTACTACAATAAAAGTCTGAAGTGAAATGAGACGATGCCTACACTGGAGGCATCTGTCTCCTTCACTGGACTGTCTGGAGACTGCTTGAGTTCCTCATTGGTCAGCAAACAAAACAAACTGAACAAAGAATAGGAAAAGAATGTAAAAAATTATTTTCCCTTGCCTACTGGTTGCTCTCCTGCAATATTTCAATAGGAGTTTAGTCACTAATTAGGACATAGCTATTGGATCATCTATAGGTTTTATCTTCAACCTTATTCTTTTAGTCCACAGACCATCAAAAAAGTGACTTACCAAGTTTGATTCTTGCATTGCTCAAGAAGAAAGGAAAAAAGAAAGAAGAAAGGGCTGTTTTTAGTAAGCTAAAGGTAAAGTGAAGATCAAATTAAGACAGAAAGAGACTATCACTGCCAGACCTGATGGGCAAAGCCTGCTTTCCTTTTATAATAATAGCAGCAATGAATAGTCAGGACCTTATTTATGAAACCCTGGCCTCCCCATAACTCCCTGCTAGGCTGAAAACCGGGCTCTGTTTCTCCCTGCTTATAGCTTCCCACAAAGGGATTTGGAGTGTGTCCTGCAACCCTGTCTTCAGATAGTGCTTCCTACAAAGCACAGACTTGTTTTGCAATCTTTTCTTATGTTGAAGCAGATCTGCTCACTGATTTGAATTTGGTTATGGGCTTGCACCTCACTGTATTTCTTCTGCTTTGTTCTTTTAAGCAAACCCTTAAAATTGTGTCATTTCGTGTATACATGTGAGGTTTGAAAAAAACCACCTTGTGAGTTTTGCTCAAAATGTGGCCTGAATATTCATTGGCATGTCTAGATGAACAATTAAAAATAAAGATAATTTCTTAAAAATTACATAATATGAAAATATCCTGATTCTCCCCAGGTAACATGTTACCGGCCAACCAATTGGATTCAACCCAAAGGACCCACTGCTCAAGAGAGGAAACTTTCGAGGCAAGAGCAGAGTGCAAACACCGACCAAGTGACTCATTCCACTTGGGGGCTGCAGAAACGCCCTTGTGGATGGAGATGTTAGTGCCAAGTTAGGGAAACCGGGCCACCATTCTGCTCTATGTTTACGCAGAGTCCTGATATTTTTCTGGCTCACATTTGTCAAACTCATACATAAAAGGGAATAAGGTACGACATTTTAGGTTGTAAAAACATAGCAGACTCAATGCAAGAATTATTTGTAGAAAATGTGGCCTCACATTTGGGGATTGGAAGAGACGAAGAAGAATAGAATGGTTCATGTAGGACAACTGAGTGTTCTAAATCTACCTCAAAACAGAGGAGGCAAAGACGACCACCCATGTTTCCCAGAAGCACCCTGTATTTTTATGTATTCTCCCCTATCTGTTTTAAGATTTGCATTCAGAATTCCCACTGATTCCTTAATGCCTCCCCATATTTGAATGCAAAGTCACTTTTTCATTCATGGGTGTTCTATATTATAAGGCCAAAGTCAAAGGGAGACCCCAGTAGTATTTCAAGTGAAGATCAGACATGACTTTTAAACATTACATGCAAACCTAGCTGAAACATTGCCTAGGGCAAGCCTGCACAAGCAGTTACATGTCAATTAAATAAATATTGATTAAGGATCTTCGATGTGCCAGATGTTGTGCTAGAGATTGGGATATAAAAAGACCCAGTCCCTGCAGGAGCATTCAGAGTTGAGGCATTATTGGTGAATGCCTCTTAGATAATTTGCGAAACACATATGATTGCTCAAATGCAGCCAAAACTCCTTGCTTGGATAGAAAACAGATCAGCTGCCAGGACAGGAATGGGTCCCCATGCTGGTTTTGTCACGAACTTATTCTGGAACTAAAGGGAAGTTCCTAAAACCAGTATGAAATTATTTCCAGACAATAATGCCTTTTATAGCAGTATTATGGCAATTAACAGATTGCATACAAAAGCCCCAAGCACACTCTCTGGTACTTGGTAGATTTTCAATAGATAGAATTTCTCTCCTCTTAACGACAACAATAAAAACTTGGAAAAAACAAACAAACAAACAAAAATTTAGCAGTCATTTACATATGGGTAAGAAAGGGGAGAACTTATGGGGGGGAGGGAAATGTAGTAAAGAAATGCTAGTGATTTCACATTAGGAAATCAAACTCCTAATTGAGCCAAAGCGATTATTTTTGTAAACTTAAATTTTAGCTGATATGGTTTGAAAATGCATGATGGCCTTGTCAACCATCTAAGTAACAGTTCAATTGCCCGTAAGGCTTCAAATTCTAGTATCCTAAGTACTGATTTCATCTTCACTATATTGTTTTCCCTTTTAGGGAAGCAATATCATGGAGTTTTTTTAACTGTGGGCTTTGGAATCAAATAGACCAAAATTTAAATTCCTCCTTGATTAGCTGTTTAACCTGAGGCAATTAATTTTAATCTTCCCTGAGCCTCCATCTCCTCATGTATTAAATGATGGTAACATCTAACTCCTGGGGTGATTGTGAGGTCAAAATTAAATA